CTGGCTCCCTTTGACAGTGGCTGACACATGGTTTTGCTCACTAAAGGTTTTCTGAAGGCCTCCAGATAGGGTGTCACTGATCCTCGCAGGTGGCAATGCACTGACCCCATCTTCAGCCTTGCCTGGGCTTCTCCACTGTCCCTGTATAGTCTTGAAGCTTGTCGCCCCGGTTTCTTGGCTCCTGAAGAGGCCCACAGTCTACCCATCAGACATAAGCACCTCGCTTCACAAAGGGCTGGCTTTCTCAGGTCTTGTGCAGGACTTCAGGATGGGGCTCAGTTATCACCCAGGCAAAAACGGGGCAGCAACAACGAGACACTTATAGTCACTCTTCAGCGTGGGCCATGCATCCGAAACGCTCCGCCTCACCACCTCGCGCCATCGCTTCCCAGCTGTAGGTCCACAGATGAGCAGGCCCCACCCTGCCCGACTACTGACTGTGACCTCACACCCCAGCTGACCCGATCAGCCACGTTGCCAAGTTTCAGTTTGACAAACATTTATCGTGTGCCTATCATCCTCAAAACAGGAGTCGGGCCGTTCTAAGAAGACAGGAAGCTGACAAGGGTAGTGGCTGGCCTAGGACGGTTAAAACCTACCGACTGACTGAGCCTTGAAGAACAGACAAAGCTCCCGCAGGCAAAAGGGGTGAAGCACAACCAACCACAGCAGGACTTAGGACCTAGACCGGGGCTTCGGGCAGGAAGCCCTGAGGACCAGCACGACCAGGACTCGGGGCTTCCCCAGCCAGGGGCCCGAGACATGGTTTTCCACGGCACCCGGGCACAGCCGTTAGCGAGGACTAACACGTGTGAAAGTTAATCCACTGCAGTGTTTCTGACTGCGTCAGGGAGGAAGCTCCGGGGGGTGCCGCGTGTCTTTGGGACTCCTCCAGCACTCTGTAACTGGCCCTTCCAGCATGACAGAGCAGGCTGCTTCTCCAGAGACGTTGGCAAACACCGAAATCCAGTTAGGATTCAAGGACACAGTTGCGTCTTCACTGTTCTTTATTTTTACAGTTACTTTCTGTTTTGGCATGTGGTAACTGGTTTTCTGCTTACAGGCGGTTCGAAGTTTCTGTTTTAAATTACTTTATTTGAGGCCAAAAGTCAGCTGATTTGAAGGAAAAAAGTAGGAAACCAAGTACTGCAGGCGGTATGTATTTAAGACAAAAAAAAAAAGCAAAACCCAGGCAGGTGGCACGTGCCTGCACATGGATATGACAAAAACAGGGCCTCTGGGGCCTGGGGTGAGCACAGGAACCAGGGTGGGAAAGCACAGGGGTGCGTTCCAGGGGGGAAAAAAGCCAGTTGACCGTGACAAGAGCCCAGGGCACATGTGATACACAAGCTGAGGCTAGGAAGGTAAACTGAGGCCAAGTGGTGGACAGAGCCTTGAGGCTGAGGAGGGGGTGTGGGCCTGTGCCCATGGGGGTCCACAAAGGTGCCCAGCCCACTGCCCGAGGTAAAGGAGCCTGGTGTGGGGGAGGAGAGGAGGGAACCCAGGCAGGGGGACTGCGAGGTGGCAGCGGGAACAGCCTCAACTCCCATGCCCACGGTGAGGCCGGGAAAGTGGGCCTGGCACCCCCACCCGCAAGGGTGGGGCTCATCCCAAAGCCTGTGCATCCCGGAGGCCCTACAGGGCACGAATGGAGCAAAGCAGGGGACAAGCAGCTAGCCCGGGAGGCAGGTGTTAGGTCGGGCTGTCCTCTGAGAGAGAGATACTCATCACCATATAAGGAGTAAAAACGGGGAAAAGGAGGAAGCGGGGAAAAGGATTGGAATAAGCCTAAAGAAAAAAATACCTAAAGATAGCCTAAACAAAACACTCCCGGCCCCTCGTGCCTGCCTCACTGTCTGCTAGCCATATGGTGTGCGATAAGCCAGAACGCTTTTATTTATCTTCCTCCACTGTCTTTAAAGCCCCACTGACAAGGCCCCACTTGAGGCAAAGGCTGCGCCGAGCTCTCGGGCCGTGACAGGCGGCTCCCAGCCCTCGCTCCAGGAGGCGGCCAGGCTGTGATCTCCCCCCACCCCCCATGCCCCTGGCCTTGCTGCCTGTCTGGGCCCCACTAGAGCCAGGGCCTCCACAGCTGTTTTCCCACATCTGGAGAAGCGACAGGCCAGGCCAGCTGGGCCACAGCGCAGACAGCCAGCCAGCTCATTAGTGTTCACCCTCGCTGGCTCACTGGGCCATTCACTGGGTCCTCTGCTATGACCCAGACAATACCTAGTCGGGGATGGGGCAGGTCAGGTGGTGGGTTGGGGACCTCTCCTTGTGGCTGAAGTTGTCAGCCACTTTCAGCAGTGCTTAGCAGGGGTGCTGCCTCTGGAACCATAAACACGTTGGGGCTTATGCCTTCCTGAGGCAGCCAACCACCCCCATTTCCTTGCATGAGAAAATCGTCAAGCAATATCTAATTTCACCAGGTCCAAGTTCTCTGCTCTTCCCTACCATGACCCAAGTAATCACACAAAGGTCTGGGCGTGCTCGGCACTCCGGAGCCCGACCCCGAGCCTCCGCACGGTCTGACCACCTCCCGCCAGCCGTGCTTTGGCGGAATGGAGCCGTGCGTGCACTGTGCGTGTGGGTATGTGTGCACTGTGTGTGTGTATGGCACGAGGGGACTGATCGGGTGACTCTCCCACCCGTCACCTGGTTAAATGTGAACTCAGATAAACAACAATGTTTTTAAACTTTTTAGTCCTGTGTTTTGATTACAGTTGACATTCAGTATTATGTTGTATTAGTTTCAGGTGTATAGCATCGTGGTTAGACAATCATCTACTTTACACAGTGTTTCCAGTCCCCACCTGGCACCACACACAGTTATTATAGCATCACTGGCTGTATCCCCTGTGCTGTACTCGCACCCCCATGACTGTTTCAATAAACAGACGTTTAATATGGGTGTATCACATGCACGATTTGGGACAGACAGGGCCCAGCACAGTGTCCCTTTTTCGAATTACAAACCCCTTTATTATAAAATCATTAAGCACGTGATTCTGTAACATAACAACATCACACTCAAGCACACTGTATGCCATTTTAGGTGAAATGTTCAAATTAAAACTATAAATTACTACCCCCCTTTTTCTTACCCTACCAACCCACACTCAAGCCAGTGTTACTTCTGCCAGACCCTATATTAATACTAAAAAAACATTTGTTGTTTATCTGAAATTCAGCTTTAACCAGAAATCCTATGTTTTCATTTGCCACATCTGACAGCCCTGGACCGAGGCCCTTACCGCCCTGTTCTTCCCTGCTTCACCCCCCAGGGGTGGCCTCAGCCTGCGCCTCAGGGTTGTGCCCCTAGAGGGCGCTCTGCAAAGGCCTTGCAGGCTCTGTGTGGCCCTACCTTGCAGCCAGGACCTGTGGAGCTACACAGTCTTAGCCGAATCTGGAGTCCCAAAGAGCCCTGAAGGAAAGCATTTGTGGAAGACCCAGCATAAGGGACCCCAAGGGAAGATGCCCCCCCTGCTGGGCCCCCCCAGGGAGCATGGAGACCCCAAGCACTAGCACTTAAAGGCCTGGCCGTGTTTCGACAAGAGCCTGTCCTGGGCGGCCTCACAGCACCAAAGGCACCCCCAAGCCAATGTAAAGTAGCACCTACAGGGGTGGGCAGCTGGCCGGCGTACCAGGAGCATGAACTGTGTTATAAATGGCCTTTACCCGGGTCCCAGGACAGCGGGTCTGGGCAGGCCCCAGCATGAGTCCTGGCAGGAGATGTGACCCAGCCCCGGTGCAGCACACTGGGGGCACGGACTCTCGGGCTCTCGGCCAGGCCAAGTGCCATGGGTGTGTGGGGCATGCCTCAGCACACGACCCAGAAACCTCGAGAGGCAGCTGTCGTTCCCCTGCTCTGGCACTCAAGGCAATAACAGAATGACACTTCATCCCTAATCTGGGATCTATTTTTTGCAGTCGTCCAGAAAGCCACTGGCTAATAACATTGGGCTGAACACCATGAAATTGCCATTTTTGTAAGTCAAGAAGGTTAAGAATACAGACCATTACATAGAGACCAACCAAACAACAATAATAATGCTTCGCACCGACTGTGTTTCAGGCTCCACGCAATGTCTCTGAAGTATATTCACCACGTAATGTTTAATTCTTACAACCACCCTCCAAGGTAAGTATTACTGTGCCCATTTAGAGATGCAGAAGCCGAGACTCAGAGAGGTCAGTGTGCTCATCCAACGGGATACCAACTGGGTCTGTGTGACTCCCAAACCCATGTCCATTTCACCCACCATGTGGCCTGGGTCATGGGGGTGCTTCCATGTCCTGTGCTCTTTGCCAGTGGGTCAGTGGTTAGTCATTCCCGTGGCAGTCAGTGGGCACTGCCAAGACTCCCACCCTGCCATCGCCTGCCTGTGCAGGGGCCCTCTGGAGCTAACTAAATCTGGCCTCCGGAATTAGCAGCAAAGTGTATTTAACAAACAATTTCAAGAGGAGAAAAACATCTGAGCATTTATTTAGAGTGAGAGGGGAAAGAAGCCAAGACATGCACTCCTAAAATAAACAGAAAGTAATCAAGGCAGAAAAATCTAGCCCAACTGGTTTTTAAATGTTGTAACTGCAGCTATGAGCTAACATGTAGTGGACTGCTGTGAAGGCATCAGGTGCAGTGCGATCCAGCATCACTGTAGACCCAGAGGCACGTGCTTCTGCGACTCTCCTCTGAGATCACTGAGCCTCATAGAGGAGAGAGGAAGAGAAACTTCTCAAAACAACAAGTCAAAGACAGAGAGGGTCACTGGTCCCCTGGCCCACCATAACCCCCCTCAGGGGCTGAGATCAGCACAATATTATAAATAAAGGGCTGTCAGACGCCAACTTCAAAATAAGAAGAAGAAAGGAATGTTTCCCTCCTTGTGAAGTAAGACTCTGGAAGTCAGAGCACACGTAATGCACAATAAAAGTAGTTTGCACAGTTCCAAGCGAACATGTGTAGACATCAAAGTTGAAAGACAAAAAGGAGCACCAACCTTCACATGGGCCACATAGTGATGACACGTGTCCTCCAGGTGGACCAGCCGCAGCTTCTCCGAGACCTGACCCACGGACTCTCCCAGCACCACAAAGTAGACCCTGGGCAACTGGCTCTTCTCCTTTTTGGCCACATCAGCCGTCAGAACGTAACTCAGGCCTGCCAATAAACAAGGTCGAAATGTCAGCGAGGACAGACACGCAGTGCAAGGCCACCTCTGCTGCTCCCCACACAGGATCACAAGCACAGGCCCTATGACACCGAGCCCTCCACTGCACAGGGGACTACGGCCCCAGCTCGACACGTTCTCAGAGAGAAGCCAGCAGCCTGCAGAGCTGAGAGAGAACTGGGTGCCCCCCACCTTCCCACGGACGCTCTGTGCATCACACACGTGGGCACCCCCCACCCCCGATTCCCACCTCATGAGGTATCAACTGAGCCACCAATACACACACTGACAATCAGCTGTACCGGGCACAGTTTGTGTCCTGAAAAGCAGACGCCACATCGAGTGAAGAGAATATCACTAGGAGCTGCCAACATGACCGGGGCTGCGTGTAATCCTGACTTCTATACGGCACTGGGATGCGTGCCCAGCACAGGGGAGAAGCGATCCAATAATTCTGACTCACATCACAGATGTCGGGCCGTGCTCTGCAATCACTACACCGACTGGACCGCGCACCATCCGGGGTCCACAGGGAGCAAACGGCAGGTCAGGCAGCACACAGGGGCAGGGGCTACGTCAGCGAAACCCAAGGGCCGAACACCCTGCCTCCGCAGAACTGACATCCGCAGAAAGTCAGACTGAGGCAGCGGCTCTCTGCGCAGGCAGCCAGGTGCTCAGCTCACTCATTTTATAGCACCTACCACTTTCTCAAGGCCATGACCACCACGGGGCCGCACTGCGGTGCCCTCCTGAAAAGTGAACCTCGGCCCCTCCCCTCTACCAGTAACTCGAGGTAGCAGAACTTGCTGTGACACAATCTGGGATTTTATTTTTTATTCTCACAATAGCCCTGACCCCTGTGTGGCTCAGTTGGTTGGGCATTGTCCCCCAAGGTGAAGGGTTGCCGGTTTGATTCCTGGTCAGGGCACATGACTGGGTCGCTGGTTCAGTCCCCAGGTGAGGTGCGTTTGAGAGGCAGCTGATCAATGTTTCTCTCCCTTTCTTTCTCCCTCCCTCGCCTCTCTCTAACAATAGATAGGTAAAATCATTTTTTAAAAGAACGGTCACACTGTAGAAGGCACACTGGATGAGCCCAAAAGGTTCTGCCTCCATTATTTGAGTCTGTTTGTGAATGTAGAACAATGTGTCTTATTAATTAGGTAAATATGGCTTTGGCATTAGTGGTCCTATTTTACTACTTGTCTGTACCAAAGAACCCCACTTCCGAGGTTAGCCCTTTTGTAATAGTTTATTATTTTTCAGCTGCTCGGTAGGTTCAGCGGAACATGCCAGTTTTTGAGAGAGAAAAGGAACTTACGTCCATAACACAATCCTGTGAGACTGCTGAGCACTGAGAGAGCAGGCGGTCCTGCCCCCGCCCCGACTCCACACCCCAGCCTCTTGGAAGCCCAGCTCTGGCAGCAACAAAAAGCAGCCTCACACCTGCCAGCACCGAAGGTCGGCAAGCCAGGCCCCTGGCACGGCTCTGAATAACAGCGCAGGGCTCGGCCACCAGGGGAGGTACGAGCCGGGAGAGAGGAAAGTGACCTGGACAGGCACGCTGCAGCTGCCACAAGGGCGTGCTTTCGACGCATTTAATGGTTCTTCTGGGCTTCTGCCATCGCGGGCATCCTGCCCCGTCAAGCTGGCGGATTCTTGGTTAGCAAGGGTGAGTCTGCCCCAACTTGTTTCTTTCAGCAAACAGCTGATTTCCAAGGCAAGACTGGGTCACCAGGAGGGACCTGGGACCTGGACCATCCCAGGAGGGACTGTTAAGAGGAAGAAAACGCTTGCGGGAAAGTACCTCCACTGAGAAAACATAGAAGCCTGGGCAAACAAGGCGCACCGGCTCCCGTGCCGACCACAGCGGGAAGTGGGGGCTGAGCGGCGACGGCGAGTCTTCACGGCCATCTAGTTCGAAGCCCTGGCTTTACAGATGAAGAGTTGGGGTCTCATAAGGGAACAGGGCTTGCTCCAGGCCAGAGAGCCATGCACCTCAGAGCAGAATGTAGAACCCTCCTGATCTGCAGTGGGGGGTTATTCCTGCCACCCTGGCTCTTGGTGCATTTTTTTTACATTATCTGACAAAAAAAACCAAAAAAAAACCCCTCAGAGCTGGAGATGGACACTGGTGGAAGGTGAGCCAGTGGCCTCGGGACCCCACCACAGTGGTGGCGGCTGCTACGTGGGGTCTCCTCTACGGCCCCTGCTTGGCCTTCCCAAGTGCGAACGTCATGGCTACTCTTCCTCGGGAAGGTGGTCACAGAGAGAACTCCGGGTCAGAACCATCTGGCTGAGCTCAGAGAAAGCCTGGGTGGAAACGAACGCAGGAAGGCAGAGCGGATAACAGCAGACCCCACCCATATCCTCTTGGCGTCGCCATTTCTCTGATGTCCAGCCCAACCTGCACTGCCAGCACCTGCATCCCCTTTCCCAGGGGCCTTCTCTGGCGGCTGTGCTCACATGCATGACAGGCCACAAATGCCCAAGCCTAGAGCCCCCGGGGGCAGCCCCCAGTACTGCAGGAGCCCCGCTCCCTGGCCCCTTGGATGGGGGAACGCAGTGCGGTGTCCCACCCTGACTCCCAGGGTCCCTGCAGGACTCACCTCTAGCCGCCCACAGTGGTGACCTGCTCAGTCACACACCTTCCGAAAACCACCTGTGAGGGTTGTTTTTTTTTTTAAGTGTCAACCTGACTAGGCCATGGTATCCAGGCACCTGATCAAACACCAATCTGGACGTCACTGCCAGGGTATTTTTCAGATGAGATTAATATTTAAAACAGTACAATTTGTTTGGGTTTTTTTCCTTTAATCCTCACCCAAGGACATTTTTTTTCATTGCTTTAAGAAGAGATGGAGGGAGATAAAGAAACATCAGCAGGTTTCCTGATCCATCCCGACCGGGTATCAAACCTACAACCTACGTATGTGCCCTGACCTGAAATCGAACCCGCAACCTTTCAGTCTATGTGACAACACTCCAACCACTGAGCCACCCAGGCCACAGCTAATCAGTACAATTTGATTAGAGCACATTACCCTCCAAGGTGTGGTGGGCCTCATCTAATCAGTTGAAGAAAAAAAAAATCTGAATAAGAAATAGACTAGTCTCCCCGAAAAGAAGGCATTCTGCTCCCAGACTGCCTCCCAGCCACAATCTCAACATGCACACCTCCCCTCGTTCTGCGTCTCTGAAGAGCCCTGACCGAGGCAGCTGCCTTCCCTTCTTGTCTCAATGTCCCATTTTCCTACTGGTGCGCCCTGGGATCATCTCCTGAATCAACAGCATGCCCTTAAGTCCTTGACTCAGGCTCTGCTTCTGGGAGAATCTGAGTTAAAATGGGGCAACTCAGGAAAAGGGAACGAGTTCAGCTTTCAGTATGTGCCAAGAGCCATGCTGGGTCCTTGACAAACGCCACCTTTAGTCCTCCAAAGCCCCACCCCACGGTGGAATCACCAAACACATGTATCCCCATTGGGACACAATGGGGGGGGGGAACAGCTTAGTTACTGGAAGCTGAGCTGAGGACCTCAGCTGCGCTCTGCTCAGGCGGCACGTGGGCACGCCAGTGCACTCCCCTATCGGACTTTTCTAAAACGTTAAAGTATACAATAGCCAGACAGACCCCATTACCCAGTTCATCGAACACAATCATTTTGGAAGCTTTTCATCTTTGGAATCGCCTACTTAGTGCCTGTCCTTGATTTAAAATTTACTCTGCCGTTTTAACTTACACAAAAGGAAGTCAGCTCCCTCCCAGCCTCTCTCTTGTAGAAGAGGACAGCCCCGAGGAGACGTGTGACGGCAAACCCAGCCTGAGTGAGGAGGGTCTGGGATCTGCCGGGGCGGCACCAGGTGCCGATCGCACAAAGCCCTGAGCTCGGCTGGCAGTTTTAAACAGCACCCACCTGAAGTGCGTCTGCAAGGGAGCCCCTAATGACGGGGAGGAGGTGTCGGAGAAGCAGCTGCTCAGCCTGCTCGGTTAGGACGGCGGGCCTCCATGGGAGGGCGCCCCTGTGCAAGCCAGCCTTGCCAGCCCCGTCCCAGGAGGGTGCTGATCCTGATTAGGGCCCCCTCCATTTCACATCTTCAGGTTCTCCTCCGGCAGCTTGTGTCCGTGCCATGTCGAATGATGTCACGTTGATGGAAAAGCTGATCAGCCCCAAGTAACGCTTCCAGCCACCGCCTTCCCCTGCCCCCAGCTGGTTCGAGGGCCCCCAGGCTGGGAGGGGGCCAGCTGTCTTGCATCAACTTCGGCTCTGGTCTCTCCCAGAGAGTTGATTCATTCCCTTTCCCCATCAGAACATGATTTCAGCTGTGAGATTCTACTAATAAATTCTCCTTCCAGAGTTACTCTGGGTTCCCTTAGAGTTTCCCAGAAGAGTGGGGGGAGGATGTTTCCATTTCCATTTGATGAACTTTCCTGAGTTTTCTCCCCCTTCCACTCAAGGAATTGAGTGCTAATTATCAGACCAGGTCACCCCCTCCATCATATAACACAGATCTGCCTCATCTCCACGCTTTTCCAGGCGCCAGGAGGAGCTAAGAGAAGTGCACCCGAATGCTTGGAGGGAAGGGTCAAGGATCCAGTCACCTGGTCTCGGATCTATTTATGTTTTGACTTGGATGACCTTGGTGTGGCTACTTCTCAGGACACGGGCTCAGCTGCTGGTCTTGCGGGAAGGCAGGCACCCCTGTGGTTCATGGCTTTGCCAGGCTGACTGAGCGCCCTGGAAACACGGGGACACAGACCAGGCACACTAACACAACCACTCGGCTCATCCCTTCCTGGTTCTCACCTAGGACTCTCGTGAAAGCCCAGAATTGCTGGCTGCTTCTCAGCCTCCAGAGACTGATAGGCAGGTGTAGGCTTCAGCGTGGCCAGCAACTAGGTGCAGGCCCAGCCCATGGGTCAGGACAGAGCCTTTGGGGGCAAAGCATTCACCACCCTTACTCATGGCACCTAGAAGGCTCCAAGGGGCCGCTCCCCAAGCCAAGAATGAAGTGATTAATGAGACTTGGGATGGGAAGAACTCTTGCTTGAGGAAATACATTATAAACTGGTTCTTGAGGCTGTGGGAGCTCAACACTGGATCTGTACCCCAACACTGAGCAAGGACCTGCCCCACAAGGGCTCAGACACATCCCGAAGCAGCAGCAGCATTGGTCATTTTGTCTTGATCGTCTGCCACGATCCCTGCAGACTGCAAGCTCCATGGGGACAAGGCCTTCGCCTGGCCTGTTCTCTGCTCTGTGCCCAGGACCAAGCGCTGTACCTGGCACTTTTAAGAACATAAGAATGATTGACTGACTGACCCCAACAGGCACTTCGGGTAATGCCACGTGACTGGATACTTGCTGTGCTGATTTTCGAAGCTGCTGTCTCTCAGTTCCAAACCCGCCCTTCTCTCCCTGCAATGTCGATGCTGGCATGGGACTCTGCAACCTTGCTTCTGCTTTGCCAGTGGCTCCCTGTGTAGCTCGGCCTCTAGGGAGCTGGAGGGAGGCTGCAAGGCTGGGGGACAGACAGCGACGGAGCTCGCTGCTTCCTGCTTGCTTCCCTTTCCTAGCAGCTGAGCCCAGCACCAGTTTTTCACGGCCACTGGCTCCACAGGCCTTCATTCACGTTTGGTTTTGCCCCCACGCCCCCCAGAGCCAGATTCACTGCACCCCCACAGAAACACCAGCAGCAGGAGCTAGCAGCCCCTCCTCCAAGCAGGTCTCTTCTCCCTGCTTCCAGGTTCCAATAACCTGGAGGAAGTGGTCTGCCCCTAGCGTCACATTTTCCTTTCGCTGCTGTGACCAGAGGTTCTCATATCTAAGCCACCTGGAAGCTTGTTGAAACGCAGGCTGCTGGGCCCCACCGTTAAGAGTTTCTGATTCAGAGCTAGAATTTGCATTTCTAACAAACCCCACGTGCTGCTGCACCTGGTCTGGGGACAACACCTGGTGCAGACCAAGTAGCGGTGGCTGCTTCCTGTAGTAACTACCAGGTCCCCTGGGACAGGCTGCACTGACCCCCGCAACATTAAATTCCCTTTGTTAAAATAGCTGGTGTGGTTTCTGTTTTCCTGACTGGACCCTCCCCGAGGGGCCAGAGTCACCCCTTGAGTCCTCAGGCTGTTGCCAGAAGCCAAAGCAGCCCCTCCAGTGGCTTGGCTGACCAGCTGGCCCTAAATTCTCCTGTGACCAAGTGGGAACTGTGGTTTTCCATTGCTGAAGTAGAAAATGAAGAGGTGAAGGGGGCCCTTCCCTGCAGTCCCCTCTGTGTATGTTTGAGCCCCGGCAGGTCCCAGGGGAGAGGAGAAACCAGAGACAAGACAGTAACACTGACTGCTTATGGCTCCCAAAGCATCCCCAGGGAGGTGCTGTGGCTGAAGGTGCCAGCAGGTTGACACCACAGAAGATACCACTCCTGACGGCTGTTCAGAAGTCCCAGCACACCACTGGTGCCGCCTTATTGCACTGCCCAGGCTGCACTGCCCAAACGCAGCCATTTCACAGACGCTCGTTGGCCAGCTGTTCACGGCCAAAACTACTACCAACATGGCTCCTCTGCAGCAATGAGAGTGAGGAAGGCTCACGATCGGAGTTGCCGCCCTGAGCTCCCCATGCAGAGGCCGGGGCGATGGCCCTGAGCCAGCCTGCAGCACCCTGTGCTGGGCTCAAAGGAGAGTGGAGGCGGCCCGTGCCCAGGACCTGCCCCAACCCCTCCTCCATCCAGAAACCCAGGAGCTGGTCTGCCCAGCGATGCAGGGCCAAGGGGCTGCTTTCTTCACCCAACTCCAGAATGCCCCACCCAGAGCCAGACTCACACAGCTCCCTGACACGCTTTCACCCCCACCTGATTTCCCATCCCATTGCCAAAATGACTGCCTGCTTCCCCTTCTCAACCTGTCCACAAAGCCACCCACCGCCAGCTCATCTCGGGGCGGATTTCTGCATTGCCCCCTCTGCTGGGAGCTCATTTTCCTGAATACCAGAGGAAGAGACAGAAAATGCCAGGGATAGATAATTCTCTGCCTTACCCTGCCAAAAGTCTTGACTTATTATTCCCTTTAAGCCTGAATCTTAAAAAGCTGTCATCAATGAACGCTTGTGGCAGATGGAGGGGAAGGAAGTGACCTGCGCTGGGGGGAGGCACTTGCTCCCTGCTGCCCAGAAGGCACGTACTGCCCGTCACCCGAGCCTGCCTCTGCGATACACCCCAACACTCAAAAACCCTGAGCCTAAACCTTCATTATAATCCTGCCTCTCAGTCAGTGTCCGCCTTGCTCAGCTCTTGAACTTGCAAATCAGTTAGTTCTACCACTGTCCCGTGCTCTAAAAGCACTCTTGCTCATAACTCACATCTTGGTTTCCTCCCCCCATCCCACCTATACCAACTTAGCTTCACCTGTACCACAACAGTCAACATAGACAAGAGTCTGAGAGTTGTGTGTACTGCTTCAGGATCGAAATCATAAAACTCTGTTGTTCCCATTAGCAGTGCCACGGGGACATGCCTGGCACATGTAGGTGCCTGATAAATATCTGTCCAATGCACACACATGAGCTAGTAATTGCTCACTTCTTTTTTTAGAGTTCTAGAATAGTTCTGCTTAAGTTTATGCACACCAAAAAATCGATCCTCAACGATTCCTTCAAATGTTTCTTAATAGAGCCTAACTACATCACCAGTTGGCGTTTGATAGAGGAACACACCATCTAGTTATGTGGAAGATGCGTGAGTCCCACCAGAACTGTTTTCCCTAGAGACTGCAGGGCCTTCAACAGTTAGGGAGGTGGCGGGAAATAGTTTGGGGAAAGCAAAACGGAGTATCATGAAGCCGGACATCAACCCCCAGCTTTCACCAAAAGATCTGTGATCCTGAACCAGTATATTTTTCTCACCAGGCTGCTCACAAAAAGTTTAACCCTCTCTTACTAACCAAGCCCCAAGTTCATGCATCATAGGTTTACATCCAATTTTGACACTTCTAAGTCCTTTTTTAAAACTCTACATTAAAAAGTATAAGGTTTAATTGTTGAGCTTATTCAATCCACCTGGAAGGCAAGACCGAGAGCCAACGAGACCATCAGCCCAGAAGGGTCGGGATACTGTTACCCACAATGCAGCTGAGAAACGGTCTAGCACATGGAGGTGTGCTTCTCCACGGTGGGGGGAGGGGGTGTGTGCCTGCACATGTGTGCACCAGAGCAGGGCTTCTCAACATCAACTGCATGCACGGATCTCGCAGGGATCTCGCTGAAACGCACATTCTGGTGGACAGGCGCCAAGGGAAGCCTGAGTGTCTGCATCTCTAACAAGTTCCCAGGGGACCGCACTGTAAATGGGCGGGGGCAGGGGGGGGACCTTCGTGACACTAAAAATGTGTAAGAAAGTCAGCAAGTCAGATCCTTATCAGTATTTCTTCCCTTGAAACTTTACTTTCTGTTACTCAATCAGCCTTTCAAGGAAAAAAGAAAAGCACCTACTAATCTGTACAACTGCTTCACATTTACTTCCTGCAGGCGATCGCAGGCACACTAAGCTCTAATCCACACTGATCCCAGCTTGTGCTGGGGCTGGATCCGGTCCCTGGAGCAGGATGAGCAAGTCGACCTTCCCCAATCAAGAGAAACAGCTGCCACTGACCCAGGCAACGCCTGCCTCTTTTCAACGGTCTGAAGCCAACAAAGCAGCCCCCTTGTTGGAAATCAAGGCCATTGTAAAAGTCAGCAGCCCTGTCCTGCCAGCCATCCTGCATCTCTGATCCCATGACAGAGGGTATAAGGCCCTCACATCTGGCTGATGCTGCAAGATCAAGGGACAGCCTCTGCAACCCCACCGCTCCTTTTTTCCAACTGCTCCAAATGTTCCACAGGACCGGGCTCCAGGCACTGCATCTTTACAGGCCTGTCCCTCCCATGGCCCAGTGAGGTATCAGTGTGGCCCTCATGTGCCAGGGGAAAGGGCACCCAGCCTGTGGGCCGGCTGCCTGCAAGACCAGCCGAGATGCGCAGGAAGCAGGGACCCAGAAATACCTGGGGCTGCCCTCAACCCCCCAAGTGCCCTCCAACCAAGATGGCTCCCCTGAGCCCCGGCTCCATGGCTCATTACCGATCTCTCCGGGGACATGCCTGCCGTGGAAGCTGAAGCAGGCGGTGACATTCAGGCAGTTCACAGGCTGCTGGCCGTCGTGACACTGAGGCGCCGTGATGTTGATGGAGACTGGGAGGAAGATGGAGACATCCACCGTAATGACGGGTCTCGCCCTACAGGTTGAGAGAGGAAGGTGACTCAGTCGTGTTGAGAAGCAGCTCCCAGAGCCAGACAAGAACTAAACCGACAGGACAAATCCCAAATCTCCAGCCCAGCACTTAGTTAAAGTGTGAAATAACCCAAGAGAACAGGGCCAGGATGCCCTGTACGCACTTTTCTTTTTTTTTGGTTCTTCAGCTTATTTCCTAATAAGTTAATGGTTAGCTTCCCTATAATAAAGGCGGGTTAGCTGTTAATAAAACCCATGTGATTGAAGCCATAAATGAGCCACCAGATGTTAAATGATTGTTCGGAATTTTACCAATTATATGCTGACTTCCATTTCATTAAGAAGAAATGAAAATACGTAAGAGGTACTCGACAGCAGAACCATGACCTGGAAACAGCAGCCCCCCCAGCACCCTCTCAGCATGTACTCCATCCGAAGCACTGAACAGCAAAGTTCCAGTCCCGTCCAGTGGGTCAACCCCCCCCCCACGCCTTCTGTTACTCCCATCAATTTATTAAGTATTTTCCTCAAAGCACTTCACTAATGGAGTCCCAGCTGGTAACAGCAAAGCACTTCAGAGCTGATGAAATCAAACGGTCTGGCCTCAGGACCAAGTGAAACCCAACAGACACCCACGCTCTGCACACCACTGTGGACGGCCCCCACCGGAGCTTGATGGATGGGCATCGTGGCTGTGGTTCCCCGAGGTGCCTGACAAAAGCCCGAAGTGAGTCACACCGTCCTGCTCTCTTGGCAAACATCTGCTCGGGGACCATTCATCTAAACTGAGGCTTAATCTTCTCCCATCCAGGCCTCACCAAGAGACCTTTCTACCTCTGGCCTTCATGCACTGGGGCGACATAACAGGATTAAGGGGCATTCACAGCTTGAGAACAATGACCTTATTTGTGTACAGTGACCCCTCAAAGAGTGTCCAGGCTGACCAGACAGATGGGGACAATGACCCACTCCAATGGATGAAAGCATTCAGGAAAACCTCGCAGGAAAAAGGAAGTGAGGGGACATGGGGCATAGATGGGGGTAGGGTTCACTGAAGCCTCCGCTGCCACGAGACAAGGGTCAAGAGAGAAACAGTGTGACCAGCACCAGGGCACTGTGGGAACCCCAGGGCAAATCCAGCTGTAGGACTAACGGAAGGCAGACAATAGCAGGGCCTGAGAAAACCCAATATCCTGGTCTTCCCATTTTCTCCTGGGTCCATCCTTGGAAGATGATATGAGCAAATAGTTACTCCTGGTCCTGGTGGTTGTGCAGATGCCAGTGGACACTCTCTAAAGCCACGCTGGCCCTTCCGTGGCCAGCTCAGGTGTCTGTTCTCCCCCAGGAAGCCTTCCTTAGCGTCCCTGGCAGCAGGATGTCCACCCCTGCTGAGGTCTCTGTGTCCACTTACTAATTAATGTCACTGTCTACAGAGTCTGTCCAGAAGGTATCCAGCCATGTAATATGAAGAGGAGGCATGTATTGAAGAAGATACAAGAAACATTGCACACAGGACAATGATGCTTCAGTGCCCTTCAAAATAGGCACCTTGGGACCTCACACCATTCTCCCAGTCACCATCAGCCACCCATTGTATTTTCATGAATCTCGCTGATGGTCTGAAATCTCTTTCTTCTCAAGGTGATTCTGGTTTTGGAAAAAGCCAGAAGTCAGAGGGCACCAAATCTGGGCTGTAGTGGGGCTGGGTGATTTGATGTTTCACCAAAAAACTCTGCACAAGACATGATACATGAGTGGGCGTGTTGTCATGATGAAGCTGCCAATGACCAGTCGGCCCATAGCTATGGCCTTCTGAATCATCCAAATGTCACACAAAATTTAATGCAGATTTATTGCTCTATTTGCTCAGTCATTTTTTAATCCAACAGCCTCACAGTGCACATGCTCACTCAGCGGTCTCTATGGCCCCCACTGACTAGTACAGTGAAGTCATCAGTGTTCACACATGCACATTCCAGTCCACTCTCCTTGGCTGCCAGGTTACATGGATGCCACGCAAGCCGTCCTCATTATATTAACAATGGCTGGACTTTTCCCAGACAGACCTCATATTTCCAAACCTGCCACTAGTCTGCAAGGCCCCCCAATGACTGGGATCCTGGAACATTCACCCTGATGTTCTCAGAACAGTAACTTTTCAAAAGCCCTTGTTAAGTGGGTGCCAACTTCACCACAGGCCAACAGATTAAAAGCCACAGGAAAGCTCTGGCCAGTGTGGCTCAGCTGGTTGGAGCGTCATCCCATAAACCAAGGGTCACAGGACAGATTTCCAGCTGGGGCACAATCAATGTTTCTCTCTCACATCGATGTTTCGCTCCCTCTCTCTCTCCCCTTCCTTGCACCTTCCTCTAAAATCAATGGGCATATCTTTGGGTGGGGATACAAATTAATTAACTAATTAGTTAATTAAAAAATAAAAATAAAAATAAAAACAAAGGAAAAGCCTGAAGTTTCACCAGACAGAGAGGTGCCAGGGAGAGCCCTGCCCAGTGCGGGGCCTGTGTCCTGCTCATTGTACCGAAGACAAGCCCAGCCCCTGCCATCACCCCGGGAGCCACCTGGGCTGCCTGGTCGCTCCTCTCGGGGCAGAGGTCTGCAGAAGGCGAGGCGAACAGGAAGCGGCGGCAAGAGGCCCAGACGCGGCCACGAGGGCTGTGCAAACAGAACCCTCTGACGTGACCCCCCAGGACCTTCCCGGGCACATCTCCCTCCAACATCGGTTCCCTCAAACGCTTTTGTTCCAACTCCAAGTATTGTTTTCGGACCAGGAAAAGCCCAGAAACCTTTCACAGGCCTCTCGGACCACTTCCTCTGACTTTCAATGGCATCACACCAGGCACTATCACCCCAGCGCAGGGCCTGCCCCCCTGGGCTAATCGGAGGGAACAAACTTCCCGAGGGCAGAGCCGGCCCGACCCACCCTGCTGGCAGATGGGAGGCCGGCTGTCATAGTGCCACCTGCAAAGGTGCCAGCCTCTGAGGTGCAAGCCGAGGGGCGCCTCAGGACAGCGACGACCATGTTTCCAAGATTCCATTCTGAAGAAGCGGGCAGCTGGCGCACTTTTTTCTGATGGCGGACAGGGCAAATCCAGGTGAACGAGGAAACCAGTCAGGCCGCACTCTGTGAGATGTGGTGCCGCTCCCCTTACCCTGGGCTTTTCTGGGGCAGTGACACGTGGGCTGAGAAAGAGCCTGAAGCCCCGGGACAGATGCTCGCCCACCAAGCCTGCCCTGAAGCCATCTGCTCCCCTGTCAGTAAGGTTTTCCCGGAGCTGAGGCTTAACCTGCACCCCTGTGGACTCTTCACGTGAAGCTACTTAAGAACAGGAGTTGTCCTGACTGCAGTGGCTCAGTGGGTTGGGCATCACCCAGCAAACGGAAAGGTCGCCGGTTCGATTCCTGGTCAGGGCATATACCCGGGTCGTGGGCCAGGTCCCCAGCTGGGGACACGCAAGAGGCAACCTGTCGGTGTTTCACACGTTGATGCTTCTCTCCCTGCCTGTCTCCCTCCATTCCCCCCTCTCTAAAAATAAGTTAATAAAATCTAAAAAATAAATAAATAAAAGGAGGGAAGAATGAAGAGCCTGATGTGGTTTTTTAATCCTCACCGGAGGACATGCTTATTGATTTTACAGAGAGAAGAAGGGAGTGGAGGAGAGAGGAAGAGAAAGACCGATGCCAGAGTGAAACCAACAGTGACCCGCTGCACACCCTGACCGGAGACCAAACCCACAGGCACGTGCCCTGACCAGGAAGAGAACCCGTGACATTCTGGTGTACGGGACAATGCTCCCAGCCAGCGGAGCCACTTGGCCAGAGCGAGCAAGGTGTGTTTCAAGTGCGTGCACAGTGGTGATGCACTCCCCCTCCCCCCTTTTCTGGGCTGCCTGACTTCCTGTCAGCTAGGGCATGCCTAGGATGCGATTTCCACCTTCAGATCCGAGGGGCTGCTACACAGCAGGCAGGGGACCCAGAAGCAGAATTTGGGGGAGGCAAGTTTAACCTAATTCATGTCAGAATGGCTTGCCTTCCTCGAGCACGTAAGTCAGGCTCTGTTCTCCACATTTTACATGGACTAATTCACCGAGTCCCTCCATGAGGTCACTCGTTCTCTAATTCTCCCGAGCTCCCCATGAGGTAACACCATGACCTTGTTTAACAGGAGAGACTCCTGAAAGAGACGTGATGAGACTCACGTCGTAAGGGCAGAGTCAGGCTTGCAGCCCAGGCCACCGGCCCCAGGGTTTACTCTCTTAACCTACAGCATATTCTGTTCCCTGGGGGTTGACCGGTCCCCTGAAGCAGCTACTGAGCCCCACCCCACAGGAGCCCTGCCACCGAGACCAGCGGAAGGCCCTGCTGAAGGAGAAGGGCGCAGAGTGTGGGACTGCATGGCCTCTGGGACCCCTTCCAGCTCCGAGGTCCTACTGGCCTATTTTAGGAAGCCCTGCCATCAGATTATTAACAAAACCCGAGAGTTGGCTCCCACTCAAAGTGTAATTCTGCCTCCTCTGACTCACACGGACAGAAATACTTGGAGATGGTTCCTGGGTGGGATGGCAGCCCACTGGCCTTTGTAGGTGATCCAGGCTGCTGGGCTCTAGCGAGCACTGGGCCCAAGCTCACGGCTCCGCTGTCACCAGGGAGAGACAGGCCGCCCCGGGGGCAGAAAGCTCCCAGTCTGGGGAGTGGGGACTGACGAGGCGGGGAGGGGAGGATGCAGGGTGTGGGGTGAAGAGATGGGGCAGGACAATGCTCCCCAGGCCCCTTGAGTGCCACGGCACCCATAGAAAATGACAGTATGTGTCCAGCATGTTAATGAAAGGGGTTGTTCACGGCAGAAAGCAAAGACCCCTAGGGCCCAGGACACCCAAACTCTGCCTAGAAGCTCCAAGGATGCTATCATCTCACACCCGTGAGCCACCAGTGGGAAACCCTGAGACAGAGAATAATACAAAAGGCAGAGTTGGCCTTGGCCAGGCAGTACAGTTGGTTAGAGCAGCGTCCCTATACGCCAAGGTTGTGGGTTCAATTCCTGGTCGAAGCACATACAAAAATCAACCAATGAATGCATAAATAAGTAGAACGACAAATCAGTATTTCTCTCTCTCTCTCAAATTAATGAATAAAAGAAGAAGGAAGGGCCCTGGCTGGTGCAACTCAGTGGATTGAGTGCCAGCTTGCAAACCAAAGGGTCATTGGTTTGATTCCTAGTCAGCACACATAGCTGGGTTGGGGGCCAAGTACCCAAAAGGGGGCCCACGAGAGGCAACCACACATAGATTTTTCTCCCTTTCTCCCTCTCCCTTCCTCTCTAAAAATAAATAAAATCTTTAAAAAAAAAGAATTTTAAGAAGAAAGGCAGTATTCCCACTTACTAAGCACCTCAGCCTGTCAGGGACAGGACAGAGGGAACTGCTGAGTGACAGACAATAAATGACTCCCCTCTGCCCCCCCGAATTCCACCCCTCCCCCATAAAGAATGTAATCCAAGAAGCAAGAGAGAGGCAGCTCACCTTAGAAGAACCACGCTGTCCGACATGAAGGCTCCGATAGTTACATCTGAAAACCAGAGGGGTACAGACTCAGACACTGGCTGAAGCCCGTCCTCCCCTCCCCCCAGGATCCTCCAAAGCCACAGTCGGGGCCCCGACAGCCATCCTCTGGGCCACACGATGATGCGGTGAGAGAGCCACACGGTCCCACATGGCAGCCAATCGCCAGACGTGGCTGCTGCACCCCTGCCGTGTGGCTGGTCTGGACGGAAATGTGCCGTGAGTGTAAAATACAGACCGATCTCAAAGTTCCAGCACAAAAGAACAGGAGCCATTTCCTTCATTTTTTATATTGATTTTAGGTTAAAACGATAATACGTGGGTGGTACCGGGTTAAAGAAAACACTATCAAAATTAATTTCACCTGCTATTTTTTCTGTGTGGTTACTAGAATATTTTCAATGACATATGTGGCCCACATTATATTTCTTTTGGACATCAGTGAATGAGAGAGAGGGATGCTCTTGGACAAAGCCCCAAGTTCTGTGAAACTTGTGCATCAAAGTTTCCACTGCACCCCTTACTCTCCGGGGCCTCGGAGTCGCCTGGCGTCCTTGTCTGTACGGGGGAATGGAGACAAGAATCCCATGACCTCTTCTAAAGCCAGTAACATTGCATAATAATTAAGTCACAAAATATTTATTCAGTATGTATTAAACCATTATTGAATGTGTTAAGTATGCATTAAACATACTATAGTAAATCAGACATTTCATTCAGATGATACTTGGTAAACTACAAACCAAAACGCAAGTGTTAGCTGGCAATGTTTACTCTAAATAACTGCGATTTTGGAAATATTCACTCGCCTAATAGCTCTCTGCCTTTCTTCTCGTGTAACATGAGCCCCTCAGCCCTGGGGTGCCCCTTAACCTTGGGGTTCCCATTACTCCTCGGCAGAACCCAGCATCTCAATCCGAGAGAGTCTGAATTTCCACGTTTATACAATGCCCTCCTTAGGGAAAAGCAAAGCACAAATCCGCGAACAGTACGAATTGTAACGCTGCTACAATTCCTGCACGTGGGCGCACTTGCTCATTTTGTTACTTTCCAACAGTCTTTTTGAATTGAATGTTTGAAAATAAAAGAACCCGATAAACCTCCTATTTCTTTTATAAAAAAATGTGAGGTAAATTCTCACATGAAGTATTAACATGCCTGCTCACCCTGCATTTACAGAGAAGCAGCCTGGGTCCTCAAGAACCACAGTGTGGTCTCCGGCCAGTCCCTGAAGTTCTCTGTGGCTCGGTGTCCTTGACTATCAAGTGTTGATGGGGGGGAACACCCCCACCCCCACCCCCACCTGCCTACTGAGATTACTGTGCCCGGTGCATGTGGAAGCATTTTGCATACACTCAGGGGCTAAACCAATGTTAGGTATTATTCAGGAATGGCCACAAAGTGCCCGGGACCAGGAAAACTGCTTTCTCCAACTAGAAAGGACCCACGGGGTGCACAGGGGCAAAACGCCCACACGAACCCTTTCTTATTCCCATTCCTCCCGGCTCCGTAACGTTAAAGGGATGCTCACAACTTCTCCGTGTACAAGAAACTACAGAATTTGCTGCCCTCCTACCAAATTTCAGTAGTTTCCCCAAATCTTCCCCAGGCATTTTAAGTGGAAAGAAATATTTTCTCAAGATAGATAGCAAGATGGACTACAGTTGCAGGAACATTTTTTCTGAGCTCCACGGATGATTTTGGATTTTTACAATTCTTATCTTCATGTCCTTTCCTCTTCCCACTCCATCCCCTTCAAAAGCACCTGAATGGCGTGGGATTGAGGTTTGAAATCGCACATTTTTAGTCGGTTAGCCTCAACCAACACGAGGCATCGACCCCGAAGGTGAGCCAGCCAGCCTTGCCCGGTGACGGTCCGCTTTGTCCATCAGCAGTTTTCTTTTTGCTCACAAGGTTTCAATAAGTTTCGTGCAAGGAGGGAGAGGCTACTCAGCTCCTCCTTCCCTCTCCAGGGTAAGAAGCACGTCCGACTGTGGTTAAATAACATCAAGAGAACGTAAGATTTCACTCTTTATCATTTTAAACGTGGACAGTGCTTTTTTTCCTTCATTAGAAAGATTCACTGCCACAGAAATCGCTGTCAGATCCACCCACCTGGTGCTTCAAGCCTTCAGATCATTTAAAAAACCCAAAAAGGAACTTCTGCATTTTCACGTTCAAACCAAACACCAGGCAAAAGACTCCCTCCTACTGTGTGAATTTTCCTAACCCTGAATAGGTGTAGCCACGGCTCGACCAGACTGGAAATGACTCTGCCCTGTGTGTTTTCCTTCCTTTATCTTGTCTGCCTTTGAAGAGAAAACAGCTTACCCGGATAGCCATTCCCATCCATGTCGATGCCTCCTGATAGGGACTGCCCAAACATCCGCAGAACGGGGCTGATCTTCCGCCCGGACAGTTTCTGAAACAGACAATGGGGACACTGAGTCACCAGAAAGGAGCACAGTCGTCGATAAGAACCCGTGACTGCGTTAGCCCAGCTTCCGTAGGACGCTTGGCCTTGACTTTGTTCAAAGAAAACAAAACCGTAGTCCTCATTGGACCGGGGAGGGCGAAGGTGGGGAGGCGTCTTCAGCAGGCAGCTGAAGACCACACACTCCTTTATTATCACTTGCCTTAGCCACATGCCATCGTTTAAACTTCTAAGTTCAGTGCTAACGAAAAACCTCCCTAGACCGGTGTGTTGACATGTTGAATAAAGTTTGAAGTGGATAAAGTTTATCTTCCATTTCTAATGAAGGCTCTGTTTTGTTTTTACACAGGTACAGCCGGCTGAGATCCTAAGAACATTCTTTCCCTTATATCACCCTACCCAAATACGTACCACACATGTATCTCTCTGCTCCTAAGGGGCACATGTTAGAGCCTTTCCCGAGGTCTCAGGTGGCACACACGAGGCCCGTGGCCCGAATCCGGCCCTCCACCTTGTTTTATCCGGCCTGGCACCTTGTTTCTACCCGGCAGCAGTGCCAAGCTCCTTCCCCCTAGTGAAGGAGCAGTTACATTTATACAGTCCTAAAATTACATTTGGCCCTTTGAAGGCGACCACGAGGCTGCTGTGGCCCCCGGTGAAAATGAGTGTGACGGCCCTGCCCTAGGCGGACAGGCGGTCAGCATGCCCAGATGGACAAGCTGGCCCCGGGGCAACTGCCTCTCCCCATCGGTCCAGCCAGAAGATCATGGGCCTCTGAGCTTCGTGGACAGGATGAAACAGTTTGACCGTGTAAATCCAGAACTCCATGGTTCTGAGCCTTCCATACACTGTAGGAAACCCCCCAAAATGGGCTGAAGCCACCCGCACCCCAAAGGACAGCTCTCAACCAACCATGTGAAGTTCACAGCCTGACCATCACGGGGCACACTAGCATCTGCGCTTTTATTCATCCTGACGTTCAACAGATGTGAACACGTGCCACATGGGTTCCAGACTCCCTCCCTTACAAGCAGCCTCTGTCATCCAAGGGCATTTGGGTGGCTCAGCTCCTCACAAACATACCAAGCTTCCTGCATCAGAAAGTCCTGTCTTCCGGGGCCTGACCTGTTCCTCCCTCCCTTTGCCTACACCGGCTCCTCCCGGAAGCTCAGCGTGTAACACCCTCACTGTGGATGATAAGAGAAATGCTGTGTCTGCATGCCATTCAGAGAAATCCTTGACAGAACCGAGTTTACAGATATCCAGGGGCGCTCTTTGGACTGCCTTTCCTCATCCTTTTTCTTGCTAAGTCGTCCTCCAGAGAAGTCACGTGGCCGGGGAGGGGAAGTTTCCATAGGGACCTACAGATGCAGATGCCAGGGACATTCAGAGCCCCCAGCAGCCGGTAACTGCAAATCACCCTCCACTTGGCATCTTCAACGAAGCCGTCCAACAGGAAATGTGCAGGCATCAACGTACACATGGGCACACTGTAGGAAACACTTCAGAAATGTTGCCTGCTAACAGGCGGAGCCCACATCCCACATGGCTCTGTCTAAATAAGCGTGCATGTGTGCCTGCGTATTTCGTAAAAGCCACATCTTGAAGCAGACCCTCCTGGCTCTGAAGTCCAACAACGCTCGTGGCAGCTCGCCCTGGGCCTGCATTTCTAAGGTCTGCTGTGGCTGGGGCGAAGGGGAAGAGTGGAGGGGTGGTCCATCTGGGGGTGGCAAGGCAGGCTTAAGTTATCCCACAGACATCTGCAGGCCATTATGCCATAAAGCCTGGCAGATAAGTCTGCTCGGTACTAATAACTCTAAATGAAAACCAGGAGCCTTGGAAAACCTCCGCTTGACCAGGTTTATTGGCGGTGTCCTCATGGCGAGGGAGAGATCACAGGGGCCGCCACGACGCGCCCAGGGGGCTCTGCCATCGAGGGAGGCACACAAGGCTCTTAAAATCAACACTTCTCATGGTGAACTGGAGAAAGAGGAACGGGTTAAAGAGTAATGTGGAAGAACGTGACTCTGATCTCACAATTTATCCCGTAGAAATAATACCAACCCGGGCCAAAGAAAAGCGACCCCCTTGCCCGGAGTTGTTTCTGACTTCCTCCTGGAGTTCACCCACACAATGCCCGCTCTGTGCTGACCGGGGCCCTGAACAATCTGTCATGAAAGGATTTTTTTTTCCCTTTTAAATCACTGACCTTATCACATACACATTAGCAGCTTGGAAAAGTATAATCATAGTTATTTTTTTAGGAGCCCCCAAACTGCTTCTCTTTGTCAAAGTTAACGAGCCAGCATGCTGACAAAGGCCAGGCGGGTCCAGCTGCTGATCCCGGCTTCCTACTGAAGACACCACGCTAACCACAGAATTTATACTCCGGTTGCCGGCAGGATTCCGCCCAGCAACAAAACAAAAAACACTGCAGGGCTGCGGGCAGGCGGGCGGGAGGCGGGGGCCCGCACAGGTTGCCTGCCTGTGCGATTAGCTTCCGAGGTCTGAGAACAAGCTTCCAGGAGGAGGCGTGGAGAGTGACCCCACTGGTGCCCCGGGAAGGGGCTCGGCAGGAGAAAGACCACAGGGGTCCACCAGTGATAGGCTCCAAGGGCTCTCAAACTGGGAAAGACACTCAGGGATCTGAAATCAACACTTTTCACGGGGAACTCAAGAGGAATGAGTTCAAGGGTAATGTGGAAGGACTGTCACTTGTCACACTGGCAACAGCGTCCCTAGCACAGATGAGAGCAGCAGCCCTTGTGACACGGACGTGACCCCCAACTGTGACTGAAGCCCTCTTTCTCCTTCCGCATCAGCCCAATCACCTAAGAGTTTATTCCCACCACTCACTGTTCATTTCTCATGAAAAGGGGAGGGTCTGTGTAGATAAAGGCCCCTGGGAGTATGTACGTGTCCCCGCAAAGGAAGTTTCCATACTCCAAGTTTTCCGGTGGGGCTTCCCCAAGTGTCCCCTCTCCAACCTGCAGCTGAGGGTCATGGTTACGAAGAAAGGTTTGGGAGTCAGCCTGGCCGTTCGATGGCCCTAGTACAATGTGCTGGCTGGTGATCTCGGGCAACTTAAATCTGCTTGGGCCACTGCCACCTCATGAATAAAAGGTGGGTAATAGAAGCACTCATTTCACCTGTTATGAGGATTAAAAGTAAGATCAGGGCGGAGCAGGCTCTTAGGAAGCACTTTCTCTACCCAGCATGTGCCTTCTGGAGTCACTTGGCTAACAGGACGCCGGGCACCGAGGGGACCCAGACCTCTACTGGCAATGACCCTCAACCCCTAATTAGCCAGCTTCTATCAGCAGCAGCAGCAGATCAATTATGAATGTATCAACTGAACTTTTTGGACGGCCTCTAAAAATCAATTTATAAAGTCTCTCTCTTTTTTTTTTACCTTGAAACTTTAGTGCATGAACAGGTTTTAGTGCTTCACTACCATTTCATTTTTATGGAACATTTAGAAAACACTTTACAAGAACAAACACTTTATAAGAACAAGACACAGTGAAACATTGTGTTTCCTTAGCAATAATCAAGACACGGGGCACACAGGACTAGGAAGTAGGCAGAGCACATACTAAGGGCTCGATAAACCAATACTAGGTGAGGAGAAATGTCTCCACCTGTGATCTGTCCCTGTTTGCCACTGGCCCACTGGGAGAAAGACGCAGGCCGTGCCACTGGACACACAGACACCCTCAAATGTCCTGACAGTGCTTCCTCTGAGAGCATGACTTCCTTTTTTCCCAGGGGCTGGGCTCATCACCATCAGCAAGTTTGAGCACCGAGCTGATGTGACAAAAAACTGAACTCACCACTTCCATGTCCCAAGTCTGGGGCACAAGGCTAGAGCTTAGTCAGCTTCTCATTTCAGTGCCAAATATGACAATAGCCCGGTGGTGGCTTTCAGGCCCCTCCTCCAAGGACCACGGTCTTTCTAGATTATATTTTACAATGAATTCCTTTGGCTTAGCACAGATGGTTGACCAGGGATTAACAACAACAACAACAAACTAGCCTCTTCTTAAATAAACAGCTCTCACTCTCAGTAAGAATTTGGATACTATGTTTTGCAGGAAGAGCACATCTCTGAATGTGAACAAACTCTGGCGCCTCTAAGTGCTTTTGTATTTAATAAGCACTATCAAGTACCTGTGTCCTTAACTAGAGGGCGGTAAGGCTAAAGGCAGAACAATGCTGAGCACCCTCTGTGCCCCAGCGCATGGCACTAAGAAAGTCGAATGGATGTGTGAACAAACAGTGACCACGTCACTCTCACGCCGGTTACCATTGAGTACTGAGGCACGATCCCACCGGCGTCACCGTGATAGACGTAGACTGCCCCCGAGAAGTCATCCTCCTTGGGTGCACCAATGGCCACATCTGAGAGGAGAAAAACAGCCGTGGTTGGGAGAGCCATGCAGAACAACATCACAGCAGATTGCCTAGTTCCCGTCATCACATCTGAGTCCCTCCTCACCAGAACGGTCCTGGTTGTAGGTTGTTCCAGCATCATATTAAGCATTAATCTCTCAGCAGAAAAAAGGTAGAAAGAGCCCTGGCTGGTGTGGCTCAGTGGATTGAGTGCCGGACTATGAACCAAAGGGTCACCGGTTCGATTCCCAGTCAGGGCACATGCCTGGGTTGCAGGCCAGGTCCCCAGATGGGGGCGCGCAAGAGGCAACCACACACTGGTGTTTCCATCCCTCTCTTTCTCCCTCCCTTCCCCTCTCTCTAAAAATAAATAAATAAACTCTTTTTTAAAAATCCTTGAAAAAGAAATGAGAAAAAAAGTAGGAAGAAAATTCTAGAAGCTGGAAGAGCTTAGTTCCAGGAAGTGCCTAGCTCATTCTGCTAGGTGGGGCGGGGGGAAATCATTGAACTGTTCAATAAAGAAATACAAATATAAACCCCCTGGCCTCATTTCCGTCTGTCAGAGAGGGGAATTCTATAGACAATGGTTACTGCATAGAGAACATCAACTCTATTCCTGGATTAGGAAATTGTCTAAAACAGCACTCACTTCACACACACACAAAATCAGCATTAGTCTCACACACCGACGACACCTTTCAGAACAAAGCCTAGCCCTCCCTTACTTTTCACCCTTCGCATCTAACGAAGGTCATGTGTCTGCAGAAGTGAGGTCCAGGGTGAGGGACACACACCCACACAGAGATCCGGTCTGAACGAAGCCCTCTCTGGCTGGTGGTATGAGGGCATCAAAGCAGCCTGAGGCCAGAGCTGTCCCTGAGCCACCCTCGGAGGGACAGGGCCCCCACAGATCCAGAGGCCTGAGTCCTGCATCTGCAGTGAGGGGTGGGGCTATTAAACAGACCAGAGAGAAAAGCAAGACAGAAAGGTCCCTCGGGGATCCCCATGCCTCAATACTTGACGTATTCAAAGTCGGTCCAGCCTGCTGCCAGCCTGCTGCCACCACCAGGGGAGAGCACGTACAATCCTCTCCTTACTACTGCACTGACCACACAAGAGAGCACTGTGGAGCACCAGAAGTGTTTGTGCCAGGAGGGGGCTGCTGTGAGCTTCACTGCCATAAAGCCCCAGCAGACCTGCCCCCTGGTTCACTGGCACCACAGTCCCATCGTTCAGCACAATGAGCTGGATGGGAAGGGGCTGCGCAGAAGGAAAACTGCCGGGCCCAGAGCTCGGCCCAAGCATCTGCACAGAGAACATCTTCTTTACAGGGTGTCCTCTCTCCCCAGTGCACCTCCTGGGCAGGCATATAGGTCCAGGAGTGCATCACACGGGGACAGGTGTGGGGGTCCTAAGGGGCACACGTGGAAGGCGGGCACTTGCTCACCGACCTGGGAACCCGTCGTCGTCCAGGTCGCCCAGGCTGGCGATGCTCTCCCCAAAGTGTGCATTGTAGGCGCCATCCCCGGTCAGGGCCAGCTGCTCCTCCAGGGCTCCCTGGGAAACAGGATGGAGGAAGAAACGGAAAACAAAGCAAAAACAGAACAAACCAAAACACAATAAAAACCAGAGCTGGGAATGCCGCCGCCCTGGGGCACACCCTTGACAGGAAACACCTGGGCAGAATCACAGGCACCCAAACCTCTCTGTCCGGGGGGCAAGAGCAGTCCGTTTCACCTGGGCAGCCTGAGGCGCCTTTCGGAGGGAATCTCGTGGTGGCCAATAATTCATCTCTCCCTTGTCCCATCTAACAATCTAGAACCCAACCAACCTCCCTCCCTGTCCCCAGTCCCACAGTCCCCTCTCAGCGTTCTTTACAGCGTAATGTGCTTGCCCCAAAGTTTTAAACAGGAATATGACCTGTATTTTCCTCTCCTCTTCTGTACAAGTTTTTCAAGCGGTTTTGCAAGGTGTGCGCATTCGTGATTTGTGTGCAGGTGAGATGTGTGGGTGAAATGTTCTTGTGGAAAACCTGGGGAATATTCTGGCTCCAAGTGTCCACACCTGACTTCGACACACTGTCGGGCTGGGCTGGGGGGTCTGGCCGCCCAACTGACTGCCTCGGATGGGTTAACACCCACGCAAATGTCTCGGGCTCCTGCACACTGGGCGGCAGGTCGCTGTTGCATGTGTGCTTGCTGTTTTTGTCTCAGTAACAATCACCTCATTTCCCCCCCATACCCTCCCCATCCCACTTCCTCTGATGTCAGGAAGGATGCAGATGACCAGAGTCACCGCAACAGGTATGTGCCAGGAAGCATCTTCCTTCCAAGGCTTAGATCCACTTTGCAAAAGAGTGTGCAAACATCCAAGAAAGCCCAAGGCTCTATCTAGCACGCCCTGGCCCCTCCCTGAATGGTCGCCCTTTCTCTCTGGCATCTGCCCCCCTAGTTACAGTGAAGCATGACCGCCCCTTCCCAACTGGGGTAACTAGCATCTTGGTCGCTGCTGAAAAGTACGCTTGTACCGATTTTCTTAAATTATGAAAGCATTACATTTTTGCTATTTGGATAAGGATAAAACTAAAAATCTCCCCAAGACCACCACCCAGGGAGATCTGTTATTGTCATTCTGTATGTATTTTGTGTATTTTTAAAGGTTGTTTGTATATGTAGCTTTTAATCCTGCTTTTCACTGATTATCTCATAAGCATTTTCTCATGTTAGCTCAAAGGCTGGTGGGACCAGAATTTATTCATGTAACTGTTTCCTTCTGGCTGAACACTCTTACTTCCAGATCCTGAAAAGATGCTGCCTTCTCGCTGGTCTCCTGCCTCCCCCACCCCCATTTCCTGCTCCCACCTACCCTCCACTAGGCTGAGGGGGGACAGGGGCATCTTTCTGACCCCATCACACCCCTTTCATGATTCTGCAGAATAAGGGACATCAGGGTTATGGCCTTGGCCCTGTGGCCTGCTGCCTCAGACCCCACCCACTTGCCCAGCGCCCCACCTACTCCTGCCTGGTTGCCTAACTGCTACCCCTTCTTCAAGATTCCTTCTAGCCATTGTGTCCTCTAACAAGCTGCCTCTGCTTCTCTGGGCAGATGTGTATATACACCCAGGAAAGCAGTATAATCTTGAGATGATGCTTTGAAAAAACCAGCTTGCCTGGGTTCAAATCCCAGCCCCACCACTTCTTAGCTGTGTGATTTGGGGTAAGTTACTTAACCTCTCTGGGCCTCATCTTTTTCACCCGGAAAATGGGGACCACTGATAACATATGCACAAATCATTCACAAAAATGGGGAGGAAAAGCTCCTGGTACATGGTGAGCCCTCAAACAGCCCATTAAGATTTTTCTTAACCCCTGTATGTTGGCGGTTGTAACATTGCCTATAACTTCCCATTAATGAAATGCTGAGCTTTTTGAAGGCAGGAAGCATGTCTTCTGACCTCAGCTGCATAATGGGGCCCACTTCACGGCCCAGAAAGGGGTTCAGTCACTACTGACTGGACAAATGTCCCTCTTCCCCTACCCTGTCCACATGGTGCCCAGCACGATACTCACATTTCCTCTGTTGATGTAGACGGTGACCTGCCCCTCATCCCTGATCTCAGAAAACATAGGGGCCCCCACCAGCAGGTCGGAGAGGCCGTCCGCGTTCAGGTCAACTGCGCATAAGGAGGAGCCGAAGTAAGAGCCCATCTGCAACCAAGTCGAGTTGCAACAAAGCGTTCAGTGTCTGCCCTCACACAGGAGGCCCTCACTCTCCTCCTGCCCCCTGGCTTTAGAAACACTGGGTCCCCCACAGGCTGTGCTGGTGGCGCTGCCCCGTGAGCCAGAATGCCGAGGCCCGTGGGGAAAGGCCCGACTGCCCTGTGCCTCCCCACAGTGATGCGGAGCCCCCAGTCAACCTGAGACCAGAGCTAACGGGATCAGAGTCCCCTCTGTCCTGGAGCCCTACCAAGGGCATGACAAATGGACCAATCCCAGGGGAACAAGGCCCTGTTTTTGAAGATATAAACATGAGCTCTGGCTGGTGTGGCTCCGTGGATTGAATACCAGCCTGCGAACCAAAGGGTCACCAGCTCGATTCCCAGTCAGGGCACATGCCTGGGTTGTGGGCCAGGTCCCCAGTAGGGTGGGCACAAGAGGCAACCGCGCATTGATGTTTCTCTCCCTTCCTCCCTTCCTCCCGCCCTTCCCCCTCTCTAAAAATAAATAAAATCTTTAAAAAATAAAAATAAAAAATAAAGATACAAACTTGAGGTTGCAAATATAGGTTATAACCATAATAAAAGTCCCCTGTAATTCAGACATTTCCCATTAAGACATTTTACAGATTTGAGCGTAAAATCTCACCACACAAGGCAGGTGTGCAAATAAGCGTGACATAGGGAAAGAGGCTACCCTCTCCCGTGCTGTGCGCAGCTAAAGACTGGGTAGAAATACAGGAGCCGAAGTGACAGGAACAGGGAGAACGCCCAGACTGCTGGAGGGACAAGGGCACAAGCCAGGTCATCCTGGTCCTTCTTCACTCATCCGGTCCCCACTGCTGTGAACCAGGGGCCTTAACCCCCAGTGCGAATGGGATCCGGGCAGGTGATACAACCCGTGAGAAGCAAGTAATAGCGCAAGCTCGCTTATGGGTGGTGAGTGGCACTTGCCTTTGGCGTCTACGAAACAGCAGGGCCTGGTGGAGACTGTAGCAAACCGGCGTCCAGAGACCCGGCCGCCCTCAACAGCTGCCACAAGAAAGGCTGACCGAGGGAAGGCCACCCTTCCCATTTTTCAAGAGAAGCCAAAAACTGACTATTTTACTAGAAGGGCCTAAGTTTTTTTTAAAGAGGGCAGCTAATTCAGATTTTTAAAAAAGCAAACATAGTGCACAGGGTAAATGAAAACCGTTGCAGGCCATAGCCTTCCCAAAGGCTGCTTTGCAACTTCTGATTTTTAAAAAAAAAAATCCTTTTAAAATAAATCTCTTCAGATACAAGGGCTCTGGTTGCATGGACACGGGGGGCATTTTCCTTCTCGGTGCAGTGGGCTGGCAGCGGCCCCCGAGGAGGAGGACGCGGGCGGGGGCACAGCAAACCGTGTCCTGCAGCAGCCCTGGGACAAGGGGGCTCGGAAGCCCTTTCCCAGCCACATGCCAAGGCCAGTTGCACTCAACCCACACCCCTTCCCCACCCGCATTCCCAAGAGAGGAGGTCTGGAGTCACAGGGGGTGGGGAATACAGAAACCAGTGGCCAGCTGCTGACTCAGTGGCCTTGCCAATCTCTCTGGACTTTAATAAAAGGACTGAGACACAGGCAAGGCCCCAGTGCTGCCGTCTGTGCCCCAGGGAACTATTTGTTTCACTCCAATGGACTACTGAACTTGGCATCTGCATCGGTGTTAAAGCAGAAATCCCTGCACATGAAGTTTCCTACGTGCGTTCTCCCTGCAGGGGTGTCCACCCTGTGGCCCTCGGGCGGCATGCAGCCCAGGATGGCTATGAACGCGGCCCAACACCAAATTGCAAACATTGAGATATTTTTTATGGTTATGTGTCACAGTCTATTTAATGTATTTGTGATTATGTGTCACGATGTATCTCTATTCTTCTTCCAGTGTGGCCCAGAGATGCCAAAAGGTCGGACACCCCTGTATGGGTCACATACTCTGTTAATTCCATAAGACTTCACCGTGGCAATGACATGCTCTGGGGTGAGTGGTCCTTGGTCAGAGATCTCCTAGCAGCCTGGAAATGCAGGGACACGAGTCTCTAGTAACACTGGAACCGCACACATATTAGTGATTTCTTATGTGTACTACGTATGAAGGATGCCAGCCAGCAAGGCCCACGATGGGGTGAGGGGTGCTTGTTTTGTCCCATGTGAGGCTGCCGACAGGACTATCTGGCCACACAAAAGCAGAAATGGACCAGTGGTTTACTGCACCTCTGGGTGTGTGAGGCCAACCAGACACAGGGATAAAGCTAAAGGCTCCCTTGGAGAGCCTGGGGTCATGTCCTTTCCCTGTGAAATAATGCAGAAGTCAGACAAGAATGTCTCATGTCTCCGGCAAAGAGCAGAATCAGCGCAAAGAGAAGAGTAACGGTCTACTTTTTAGTCGGAAAGATGACACCAGGGGTAACGCTGGAAGACAGTGACTGGGAAGGGCAAGAGTGAGTGGCAGGCGAAGCGGTCACTCTGGGGTGGTGCACAGCAAGGGCAAGACGAGCCTGAGTGGAGATGAGAAGCAGCAAGGCCGCGGAGAGGGAGGTGGAGCCCGGGCCCGCCCGCCCTGCCGTCCCTGAGATGTCAGCAGAAGAGCGAGTCTCCTGGAACTTGATGTCTTCAAGCCCCACAGGAGGTTTGGAGAAGTGGGTCCTCAAATGTTTACTTCTCACTTCACCCCCTCCCGAATCTACTCCCCAAAACCTGACCACAGCCCAGGCAGAGATGGGTGGCCCTGTGCATTATCACCCAGACCAAGAGGTTTCTGGGATGGAGAGAAGGCACAGCCACAGATTGTTCATTACTGCGGGGTAACAGGGGTTAACTGAGTCTGTCTTTAGCGCAGGCTGCAGAGTTGAGGGGGCGGGGAAATGGAGGAAGCCACTGGCAGGCACAGCTACCATCGAACATGAACATATTCTGAGAATAGGGCAACCGTGTGATTTACAGAGACCTTTAAAAAGCAGTAGCTATGTGACGGGATGGGCGTTAACTAACCTTATTGCGGTAATCATTTCACAACACAGACACAACAGATGATCAAATCATCATGCTGCGCACCTTAAACTTACACAATGTTTTATGTCAATTATATCCCAAGCTGGGTGGCACGGAGGACTCTTTAACTTTATGCCTTCAAGCCCAAGTACATCTGAAGGGGCACAGAGGGTGGCTGGACTGTCCATGGTAGACACACTCACCCACCTAAAACGTTAGACTTTGCAGCATTCACACCTTGCTTGTTTGGGGGGACCCTTTATCACTAAGGGCGCAGAGTTATTTCTTTCTGATTTGGGGGTGGTGCTTGGAAAACCTTCACAGAATTGCTGTCATTTTCCAGTGTTGCTGCTCTGGGATCTTGAAATGTTAACACGCAGCCACGTTCTCAGGGGAATGCAGAGCTGTTCTCAGGGAAAGTCTCACGAAGCTGAGTGTGGAGCCGCACTGACTGTTTTGCTGGAAAAACGATGACAACTATATACGGGGTCCATGCACTTAGGTGGTTAAGAGCGCACAAAACGAGGGGGTTTCTGGAACTCGGAACAGGAGTCCCGTCAGAACCTGTAATGGTGCTGGGCTCGTCCAACTGGTCTCTCAGAGGAACTGGACTGCAGCAGCAGCCCACGGCTGCCCAAAAGGGAAACCACCTTCCTCCCCCTTTTCTCTGGGGAGCAGTGGGGAAATCACCTTCCGACAGTCTCCTCGCGTCTCCCTCCCAAGCCTCAGCCATCTCAGGTGCTGCGCTTCTTCCCAGGGCTCAGTGAAGGCCGTGACCCAGGCAGCTGAGCACCACCCGCCTCATCTCCCAGCCAGTCCCACTGAGCAGTCTCGCTGAGCCGAGCCACACTAATCAAAAGAATCTCCAACTGGTTTATGTAGGGGACCGGTTTGTCTTGGCCTGGCAAATGTGACTCAGCTCTGTATGGAAAACCTACAGATGTGAAGTGGTGGGCAGGAGCCAGACCTTCAAACCGAGTTTTCCCATGGGAATCGGGCCTAGAAAATGCATACAGACTGTTATGGCTTGCTCTTGCTAAAACTTTATCACCCTGGTCTAAAGCAACAAATATATATTGTTTATCCTCAAGGTAACTTCCAAAGCCTGTGTGAGTTCTCCCAAGGACAGAGCTAATCAGCTCATCGTCATTCCCCTTTGCATGTTATTTTTATTTCCTTGATTGTACCTAGAATGTAGACAATAATATTCTATGTGATAGATAATAAATCTTTCTTTGATGTAAGACCTCCAAGAAAACAATAAAAGCCTGTCTAGGCAAGGGTCGGGGCGCTCCCCTCTTGAGGCAGTGGCCGAGGCACCAGAGGCACTCTCCCCTTGAGGGAGTAGTCGTGCCTGTTCCCTTTTTCCGCACAGGGTTGTTGTCGCCTGTGAATGATTCTCATCGTAAACCACAACAGGCGGACTTTGCTGGACAGGGTCTGCTACATCTGGCGTCTGAACAGGGACGCAACAGGTTTAGGTTCAGATTATGGTGCAGTGTTAATAGAAATTAGGATCAAAATTTGCAGGAGCCCTGGCTGGTGTGTCTCATTTGGTTGAAACATCATCCTGCAATCACAAGGTCACAAGGTTTGATCCCTAGTCTGGGTACATACAGAAGGCCACCATCAGGTGTTCCTCCCTCACATCCGTGTTTCTCTGTCTCCCTTCCTCTGTCCCTAAAAGCAACGAAGAAATGTCCTCGGGTGAGAATGAAAAAAGATGCGCAGGAATTTGGATTGGGGATGGGGTGAGGACAGCAAGACAACACAGACAAATAAATGTTGCCCAAGACTAACTTGAGGGCAGCCCTCTGAGGCTAGTTCTATTTGAAGGCTCTAAAAGGAAACGGTGGCTTTCTTTGGTTTGTCATTGTGTGACACAGTTCCTACAGCAATGGTGGCAGAAGGCTCAGGGTGCGAGGAGGAAGGGGCAGCGCTGTGTGGTGACAGGGACAGTGCGAACCACATGCCCACACACCTCCTTGGAAAGGGACCGGATCTGCTGGCTACCCGAACACAATGGTGTGGATCTCTCTGGAAGTGCAGGTGTGCACACATGAGCCAGAGACAGACAGACAGGCAGAGAAAGAGGCAGAGACAAACAGAGCAGGCAGTGCTTCTGGTGACAGTGTCTGAAATAGAGACAACCTTAAAAAAAAATAACTGTGCTGAACTTGGCCACCTTGTTCCATGTTTCCAACAGCAAGTATGAAACCGGGAACCTGCGGCTGCAGTGAATGCTGAGCAGGTGAAGGCCCCATTAGACCTTTAACCCAACATTCCAACGAGTAGAACCTGATTCCCTGGTGATGACATCTCACCTTTTTACCCGATGCCTGAAAAATCTTAATTAAGGTGCCCGATCTTCGGTCAGCTCTAAAAATATAAACCTATGGAATGAAAAAGAAAATCTAGGTAAGACAGGAGCAATGACCAAAGACACTCATCGGCATCCACCCGGAGTCCCACTGAAATGCCTGACCGGGCACAGGACAGGCGTGCTGGTGCTGGCGGACAACAACAAAGTCAGCCGGGCTCTCACTTCGTCAGCTCTGCGAAGAAAGCGCCCTTTGACCCTGAGGCCGAAATCCCCTCCACTTCTCCTGAGCCACATCGGGGGTGGAAGCCACCCACAGTAAGACCCAAGGAGCTTCCAAATCACTAGTAAATGATTCAACAGTTAGAAGAAAGGTTGTCATTCTTGAACCATTCCTCCGCTCCCTCCGGTGACAGCTGGAGCAGGTACGCCAAGACGAGACAGAGGGAGGGAGGTGCTTCCCACAGTGACCCCCAAGAACATGAGAGCCACGGGACCTGCCGGGGTACACAGGAGCTGAGCTGGGAAGTGCCGGAGTTACACATCACGTAAACCCTTCACTGCGGGACTTTTCAGAGCCTTTAGTGCGCGAGTTTATGCCATAAATCTCCACCGCCAAGGGCATAATCGATGCGGAACTTCCTGAAGGACACGACTGTGGAAGTTCTTTTCCGAGTTACATTTTGTGGGGAGAGAAGGCCCTACGAGAACCAGGGCGGGGGACCCTCCCCAGGGTGAAGAATCTCGTGGATGCTTTCACATTCAGATAACAGAAACGAATAACCACCAATTCCCGAAAGCCAGAGGTCCATGCTGGGGTCCTTGGGAACGGGGTCTGTACCAGCCCTCATCCCTGGGAATACAGCACAGTCATCACATTACCAACTGTGACGAGTCGCCCCAGCGCCTCTCCTGGGGACCAAGCAGCACTGGGGCGGCTGCCTCACTGTGAACTGGGAGGTAAACATTTTAATCAGCACCACAGAGGTACCTAGGCTCCCACAGCTCCGCCCCCAGAGGACATTATCAGTGTTGGGCCAGCTCTGGACACTTCCTCCCTCCGCCATGGAGAGGAATCTACGTGACTCAGAAGAGCCCGAATCTTCCTTCAAGTCATCAGAGTTTATCCACGTTCCATGTGCCTCCCCTGCTCAGGGCCCTGGGTTTTTCATCTGGCTTCATTTTCAAAGCACCTTTCTCCACAGCATCAGTGTTGGGGGTGGGGGGGGAGGCACGTGCTCCAGGAACAGGAGGAGGATCCGGGAGGATCCGGGGAAATGACCCTCATTCACACATCCCAGTCCAGCTTCGTCAGCTGACCAGGCTGACACCCAGCTGCAGGCCCTAGTGAACAGTGAGCAGTGGTCTTGGCGCACCTCGGCCTCTCTGGAATCCAGACCCCTCTCCTCTGTGCCCCTGGAGATACACTTAGACTCTCTGAGGTCTAGCCCATGAGCTCCGATCCCGAGATCATTCCTCTGTGCAGTCTTCCCTATCAGAGAACCTACAGTTTATTAAAAATGCAGATTCCTGACTCATCTGGACCTACCCGACCCACTCAATCAGGACTTCCCATACCC